ACCACCAGACGCAGCTACCATAACACTCTGACGATGGAAGCGAGAAGGTTTTCGAAACTTTAGTTCGCATATAATTTGGTCCATGAACCCGCCCCTCTTCTTCCTTACCTTTGGGGGATGATGAACGCGATAGTAATAACCATAGAACCAATAAAATTTGTCATTCCATACATTACGTCGACGGGTTATAGAACATTTCCGCATTATTCCATGCTCTATTGTAGGACTCCATGTTTACCGACAAAGTTTATGATGGAATAAATGTGTTTGTTCACAATCCGGGCACATTTCCCACGTACGAGATTAGCCACATGCCAACCAGCTTCCCCCTGCGTTACGGACAGATCGCGCATATCGAGATCTCGGGACTGCAGTACACGTCCGACATGAGTGGTCGCAAGGCCTGCATCAAGTCCACGGCACCCTATCGGTTAGTCAATCTTCATTTTATTTATTCTGCTTAATCTCCTATTTTAAATAGTCGAAAATATGCGAGGCGCAGGTGATTGAATAGAAGGCGGGAGGACGCTCTCTGGGACCAGTATTTTATTTGCCCGACGTTTCGGACTCTCACTCGAGGCCATTGTCAAGGAATAAAAAAATGTACAGCTCACCGTGTGATTAAGTCAGCTCTGCCGTGGGTGATCTTGAGTTCCCATTGTTTGCTCCGCCGCGAGTGACCTTGAGCCCTGACATTGCTCGCGCAACGCGGGATAGGCATCTGGGAGATCGATATGCCTATGCGTCTTCCCGCCTTCTAATCTCCTATTTATCACATGCAGTGAATAAGAATTTAGTCTTCCAGGGCTGGCTTGACGCAAAGACGTTTGGAAGGACAGAATAAAGGCAAAGGCTTTTTGCACCGTCATGACCAAGTCAGGAGGACTGGAGTCGGCGCAGGGTGGCTGGCGCGATCGGAACCGCCCTAGGCGTACCGCCACACCTAGTTCGCCTCTCCTCGAAGCGGGAGTACCATAAGAGGCACATTGAGAAGGAGCCATTGTTGCCTGACTCGCAGTCCGCCAGGCGGCCACTCCACACGAACAAACGGTAAAGGTTAAGTAGGTCGCCTACATTAGATACCTCTGGCGCTAGAATTCTCTCCTGCGGCAATGGTGGTATTAGTTTAGGTTTTAGTCTACTATCCAGTTTATTAGTTTAATTTAATTTTAGTTTATTTATTTGACTTTAGTATAAAGTAGTTATTTTAGTATATTTATCTAACATTGGAGGTTCATAACTAAACTAGAAATTGAAATAAACTAAAATAGTATTAAACTAATGAATTGTCTAATAAACTAAAAAATAAATTAAAACTAATAAAGCTAAAGGTAACCACATAATTAGGGGGTCAGGAGTACCTAAAGTAGACGACAAACTCAATATTTTATACAAACAAACACCGGGTTAATCGTGCGGTCCGAGTTACCCTATCAGTTCAAAACCTCCCAAGTCATGGCTTTTATTGCCCTGTGATAGCCGCAAGCGCTTCAGGTTATTCATAGTGGGAAAAGTACGCTGACCCGTCTCTGTTTCCATTTCCAGGCCTCAGCCCCCGTGCGAGTCGGTCAATGGACTGGTGTGGGAAATGGGTGCAGTTACTGATATATCCAGTGACCTCTTCTACACGTACCACATAAACGACCTGGCCCCCAGATACAAGCGCCAGGATGAACGGCTCACATCTTACAGGCGTGAGAGTACCCGCAGTCAGGTTAAGAAAAAGCCATTGCAGCCTTACTCTCAGACTGCCACCCAGCCACTTCACAGAAACACATAATGTACTCACTGCGAGGTCTCAATGCACTCTTCAGTTGGCAAGCTCTAGACACAAGAAGGCCTAGACGAGTATCTGATCTTTATAAGAAGACGCCGTTCCATCAAAAATGTCACTCAAAAAAGAGTAAAAGGTGACTTTGATGTCCTTTAGCCCTGAGAGCAGTAAACGTAACTTAGCTACTACAATAATTGGACCAATTATAAGGTTACAGACAAAAACGGGGAGGACCAAAAGGAGGACTTTATTCTGTATGTGAGCCTGAGTTGCTGTCCCAGGCACCATTTCCCATTCGCAGGGCTAGAAACAGTGAGTACAGTGCTAGGCCGTGCCTGAGTGTAAGAGCAATAAGGTGTCTGGAGGATCAACTATTTCGGCAGGTTTGTGGAAGCCAGTTCACGGGCTTTGTTGTCGAATTTCGACGTCCGGACTAACTAACGAAGCTCCTAGCGAGTATTATCCCAAAATAATAAGGATATAAGATGCAAAAGTGTTAAAAGGGATAATATTGAAGAAACGAACACAACCGTAATAAT